GGTGGGACGTGGCCGTGGGTGGGACGTGGCCGTGGGTGGGACGTGGCCGTGTGTGGGGGCGTCCACCTGTAATCAGCTGGTAATTGTGTGGGACATAGATTCCAGGAGCAGTTGGCCAGCTCTCCAAACCATGCAAATTTTTTTACTTTTCAGGGATGGTGTGTGGGTTAGGATGCCTGTGTTGAAAGAATGATGTCACCATTGGGTGCCAGAGCAAGGCCCCCAGCCCCCAAACCCCAATTGCTCCAGGGACTGACCGTACTCTCTCAAAAGGAAAAATGTGCAACATTATGGATAAAAGTAAAAAATGTAAAAAAAAAAAAAAAAATCTTCAGTCTCTAACCACAAACAAATGGAAGGGTTCCTTCACACCTTGAGGGCGCTGTTACGTCCTCTGCTCTCTTCTCATAGTCCTGCCAATCTGCTAGGATTCCTGAGGTTCAGTCTCTGTTTGTCTCCACTTCCCTCGTACCGTGTTCAGCATCTCCCTCCCCGTAACCCTCACACACCCGGGGGGCCGTCTGCCGCCTGTCCCGACATGTGCCCATGAGTGGCACCGTTTTCTCTGTGACATCTCCCCTGTCCCCCCTTGTCCTTGTGACATGTCCGCTGTCCCTCACTGTCCCTGTGACTTTACAGGTTTACAGACGGTGCCCCCCAGCCCGGTTACACCCCAGCCTGTCCCTTTCTGTGGCCCTTGCAGGTACGGTGAGCACTTGAGGCTGCTGGATGGAGACTCTGAAGCGGACTTGTGTCTCCTCGTGCAGAGGTGTCGGATACTTCTGACCCAGCAGCGAGCCCAGGGCTCGTCACAGCTGTGTATCTTTACAGTACAAATGGAGTTCGCCCCCCCCCCTTTATTTCCACACTTTATTCCACACCTATATTTTGTTGCTGACCTAATCAGGTGACCCACCAGAGCGTGAAAGTTGCTTTTTGTTGGCAAGCAGATTGCAGTGGGGTAGGTAGAGCACCCCCTACAGGCTGGGTTGGGAGAGCTCCTTGACGCCTCCCTCAGACTGTCTCCGTGAACGTTTCCCGGGCTACGACTGGTTCGTCTCCACCGTGTTCCTGCTGGTGCGGGGGGACGGGGAGCGGGCATGGGACCTCCTGCAGAGACTCAGCGGCCTGCTGCCATCTGCCTTCCTCTGGCCATCCAGGCTGCACGGCTCGGTGAGTCCCGGAACGTTCTGTAGCGCTCCTGCCCCAGCTGATGGATGGCCTGTCCCTGCCGCCCCCCTGCTTCCCAGCTAAGGCGTAATCAAGTAGAAGCAACGAGGCGCAGTGCTACAAGGAACATGGTTTTTCTCGGGAGCGTAAATAGTTCCAGGGTACATGCAGCTATAATCCTGCTTCTGGGTTTGTGCTGTTCCTTTAATTGTAAATATCTAACTAACAGCAAATAAAATTGTGCGCTTGTTTTGGGTCATACCGGCGTTGGCGTCTGCGTTCTCGTCGCTCGTGTTCAGGATCCTGTAATATCTCATGTCTTCGTAATGGAGATGTTGGATTTGATGAGATTACAGCGGTACAGTCATTATCTTCACCCCCATAAAGCACCCCCCCCCCCGCAGATAGTTGCCAAAGCACCGCATTCTGGAAATGCTACCGGCACCACGGAGGTGTCTGCGCAGCTGATGGGGGGGGCCGCCACTCTCGTAAAGCAGGCGGCACATACACAGACACGGAGCAGCTGAGGCCATGCTATCCACACACTGTCTGCCACCATGAGCTTCCTCTGGTCTCATGGTTAATAGGCCAACTTTCAGGTCATTTTGTAAACATTTCCATTCCTCCCTGGAATTGGGGGTTCCGGGCCTTGTTCACGGGCCGAGCGGTAACATTACTCAGCCGTCCCTGGGATTTGAACCAGCAACCTTCTGGTCACGGGTCCAGCTTAATTTTCCCCCTTTAAAGCCCTTTATCCAGAACAGCTTATGCAGTTTATATAGTTCTGTCTGGTCCTAATGAGGCTGGCAGTAGCTCATGTCTTTATGCTGTGTAACACCGCGCCCCCTCCCCACAGGTGCATCTGCCCGCAGAGGTGGCACAATCCGGCGTCCCCCCCACCTACTCCTGCACCGCCCACTACGTGGAGATGCTCCTCAAGGTCGAGGTTCCTCTGGTCTCCTCTGCCTTCCGCATGTCTGGCTTCACCCCCTCCCAGGTGAGCCTACCCCCCCACCCACCTCCCGCCTCTGCGCTCCGCAGCGCCCCCCCAAGGACATGTGTACACACCTCCTCCTTTCCGAGGTAGTCATGCAGTCATGCCAGGCTCTTTGGTATCGAGCAAAAAACGCTGCCTTCCAACATCCTTGATTATCGCAGCCTTGAGAAATTCTCTTTGAGGACGAGGAATCACTGTATTCTCGTTTTACCCTTCTTACCTTGGCGAGCTGCACTCCCATTCGCCAGCTCTTTGGGTCTGATAAACACCATCACTGCGCCCTGGAATTGCAGCAGGCCCCAGCCTTTCCGAGTCTATAACGCAGAAACACCGGAACCGGCAACCTACCGATCACAAGCGCAGCATCCTAATCCACTTGATTGATTCTGTTAATTTTAAGAGGCATCGAGTGGAGTTTAATTTAGTGGGACCCCGTCAGCGGCTGACGAAATCGTCACAGTCAGAGTTTAGGAGAAGCAGGAGGGTGTCAAACAAGGAAGATGTTTTAAATCAAACCTGACGCTAATTTGTCCCTTTTTTCATTTGTAAATAACCAGATAATTCCCTGCAGTAACTTCAGATTGACAACTCTTTGTTTTTGTATTATTGCCATTACTGGGTTGCTTAAGTGATGTTCTCATCCAAGCAGGGTTTGGCGTTGAAGGTTTTTGTGTCATTCGCATAATACACAGTTCAGCCCAGCACAACCTGGATTGAAAAAACAAAAACGAGAGAAATGAAAAGACCTGTGTCTGTGTGCGCTCTGAAACAGAGTGTCACCTCCATCAGAAACGGCGACCATTTCAGGGCACTTCTGCGCCTCGTTGAAATTTCTCTCCTGGCAGACGCTCGAAAGTCACCGCGAGAAACATTGGGAGAAAATTGTCTTCTGCCGGGCAACGGGAAAAGGGTGAGAATGGCAGGCCGGCCTGGACCCTCAGCACCCGGCCAGATTGGGTACAGGAGACGAGAGGCTCCACTCTCTCTTATATAAAGTGGCCCGGAGAGAAAGACAGCTTTATTGCATTCGCGATGTCTGAGGGACGGACAGGGAACAAGAAGCGATTTTACATCTGGCTTCTCCTTAAAGCCCCCCAACTCCCTCTCAGTGGCTTTATTACAAACTTTAACTATGGAATTACGCCCAGTCGTATGGGTTTGTATCAAATAAGAAAAGTTTGTAGTCTATTAAACTTTAGAAACAAAGTGAATGCTTTCTTGGTGGATGAGTTCAGTTCATAGCAGTTTTTTTCCCCACTCTGTGGAGTCCTATGAACTGGGCTTCAGGAGTCACACAGATATTACATCATTATTCTGAGAGTCAGGGAGGCCAGCATTCCTGAAAGGCGTATGTTCTCTTCTTCATCTGTTTGCTTAATTTAGTTGCTTATTTTTAAGCAATTCCAGATATTCCAGTGGCACCTATCTGTGGAGTTTAAATGGCTGTCTGTCTTAAACAGAGCATAGTTTTCAGATGCACTGTAGTATGCTACATATCTTCTTTATATATGATTTTAATTCTCTTGTCATCAATCCTCAAATGTATATATGGTAGTTGGACACCACAAGCCTGGATGGATGGATGGATGGACTCTGTCTCTGCTGCAGTCAGCTGGTCTCTAAACAGACCACCTGAGGCTGCTGTAAACATAGTCTCTCTCCCCCCCCCCCTTCCCAGATCTGCCTGCAGTGGCTGAGCCAGTGTTTCTGGAACTATCTGGACTGGCCTGAGATCTGCCAGTATGTCTGCACGGCCGTCGTCATGGGCGCCGACTACCAGGTGTACATGTGCATGGCAGTGCTAAGGCACCTGCAGCAGCCCATCCTGCAGCATGCGCAGACACAGGACCTGCAGGTCTTCCTCAAGGTGAGCGCCACGTTTCAGAGAAAGAGGCTGCTGTCATTAGCGGGCCATTCTTTGGGCTTTGAGTCGCCGTCATTTTCTGCTGCTGGTTAATTTAAAAACTGGCATGGTTTCTGTAAATAGGGAGCTGGGTGATTTGAATGTTTCCAGAAAATTGTAGTACATTTGCAAAAGAATTGTTCTGCTAAATTGGTTCAAGGAAAAACCAGCTGTGCTCCACAAGTGCAAAATTGCTTTCTGAGTTTATGAAACTTTCAGCTGTACCTGAGTTTTTAAAAATATGCAGTGCATTGTTTGTAGAGAAGGCAATTCAGGAAACTTTGTTTGGAGTGTGTGAATAGGGCGTAAATCCCTTAACTACTTCTTCAAGTAAAACTGAGCAGAGACTATCAGCAGTGGCCTTATGATCAGAATGTCACATGGTCAAATGAGTCACCCTTCACAGGCCTGGGTGCCTGTTCCCTGCCGTTCTGGAAGTCCATTTGTGGCATCGGGTCCATTTCCTTGCCTTGGTTTGGCTCCATTTAACCTTAGAGGAGATCGCAAATCTCTATAAGTATAAAACCATTTCCAGAGATCACATTTCTTGGAAAAGCTACTCTCCCATTTCGTGTCAGAATGTCCAGGGTGACCCATCGAGCTTGGATGGATGCCATACAGGTTGGTTTGGACCAAAGCCATGGTGGTCCCCATCACCAGATCATATACCAGTTAAACACCTTCAGGAGATTCGACTAAAACCACCAGGAACAGACACACCAAATGATGCAATTCCTCACGGAAGAAAGATCTCACAGTATATCGGTGAGCTTCTGTAGGTTCTCTGCAGAGGTTACCTGAGGCTACTGCAGTAGGATACGAAGATTCATTTTAAAATTTATGGCAGGAATTTGGATCCAGCAGCACATCTCCAATGCTCTCAGTTCACTTTTAAAGTCGGATTCACGTTGGAGAGGCAGATTTCGGCAACGACATCAGGTACGCTCCAGAAGATCTGGGGCTGTCCCCGAACAGCCGGAATTTCTGTGCATCACCTGAATTAAGAATCAAAATGAAAATGAGTTGTTACAGTTGTACTTGATGAGGTTTAGATGTTCAGTGTGTTAGAGGACATGAACTAATGCATTATGGGTAATTCAGATGTAGCATGAAACAAACTCAAATAAAGCTTTCCTTTGTACCTCTGTTTTTTTTTAACTGAAAGGAAATTGCTTGTCACTCCTCGCAGACTCCGTCACGCGTTCGTGTTTCTCATCACGCCTCTCAAAGCCCCTTTCAATGGCGTTTTCTGAAGATCCCTCAAACCCCCCCCCCCCCCACCTCGATTGAGGTGTACGCTGGTGGATCTCTGGTTTCCCATTTACATTTCAATTAATTTGCTAAACGTTTAATTGTGCACACTTGCTTCTTTTCAGGTGGTAACGAGATAAGGAAGCGAGAGCAATTGGCTCCTCGTACCAGCATTTGAATGGCTGCAATCAGAGCCGTGAGAAAAGGCGAATCTCGGAGGAAGTTCGGAGGTCTTCATTTTCTTGTGTTTATCGTTTCATTTCAATTGGAAGACTAATTACATTGCATACAAGGTCACGCACGAGCCTTTTCACCTGCAATTCTCTTGAATGTTGAAGGCAAGGGCACTTTTATTTTGAAAGGGTGGAAATTTGTGCTTTTTGGAATATTCATCAAATTTTCATCTTTATCTGCTGTGCCGGTACGGTTGTGCACCGAGATCCGCATCTGTTCCTGGTAGATTCTTTCGAAAAACTTTCAAGATAGGGTAATGATGTGCGAGATATTGTGAAATTTATGCTTATGGTGCTTTACTTAATTTCTGTTATTTTTATATTCAGTGTGTGCTACATGTGTAGCAGTAGAGGTAATTACGAAACTATAAATTAAGTTGCTGACTATAAAAATTACACTCAGTTTCTTTAACTGGGCTCCCTCCTGCTAAGTCGTTAGTGTCATAATGCATTTAAGCAAAGAACTGCTGTGACACCTGCAGTGTTGAGCTTTGTTAAACTGGCATTTTGCCAGGCTTCTGCACTTCAGCCAGTGCCCTCTGTCCCCCCTGCATTGAATTACATTTATTTATCACATGGTTTATTTGCAAAGGCGACATACAAATGAGGATCAGAAAGCAGGGTCTGCCGGGGTCTCTATAGCTATTTGGAGTTATGAGCCTCATTCAAGGGCCCAACGATGGCATCAGCCCAGTGATGGGATTTGAACCAGCAACCTTCCAGTCTCAGAGTCCTTATCCTTAGGGTCACACACTGTTCATGGCTGTCCTGGTGCATGTGAGATTTCTCTCTGGCTTAAACCAGGAAGCGGAACACTGCACTGGTATTTTTAAGACACCTTGTTGAGCTGAAAATGGAAAACATTTTTCGCATGTACGAAATGGAAGTGGCACTGAAGACTCGCATGAGCTGTTCCTAAAACAAACTCATCCATTCTGAAGTAGCCCTTTAGAGCTGCGGTGTGACTCGAGTGTTACTGCATGGTTAATAGCGGAACGTGCATCACAATAATAATGCTAATAATAATAATAATAATAATAATAATAATAATAATAATATAAATTAAGCACTGGAGGGAAACGTCTAATCTTATGGATTCCAGGTTTATACTTTTCCAGCTTTAAAGCAGCTTAAAGGTACTGAATAAATAATCGAAAGTCTTTTCACCCGCATCGACAAACCAGAGCCTCTGTATTGCTTTCCGATAGGAGGAGCCCATCCAAGGCTTCAGAATGAGTGATCACCTGGAGTACATGGAGAACCTGGAACGGAGGTACAGAGCAATGGTGCTGACGGATATGAAGTCTGTCATCCCCAAAGCCACCTAAGAAGAACCTTGTCACCGCTGATCCGGAAGGGGTGTGTCGTACAGCGGAGCAGAAGGGGGGCTCTTTGGAAAGTGCTTTGGCTGTACAGCCGGCCCTGTTCCATCATTTGCTGCGTATTATTGTGCTCCGTGTTTTTATGACTCTACAGCTGCAACAGAACCCAAGCCAGAGACAATGGAACCCAAGCCAGAGACAATGGAACCCAAGCCAGAGACAACTGAACACATGGCCAGACAGCATCAAGGCAAATATTGTTTGAAAACCACTTTCTTAATTTCATTAAGAGCCTACAAGCCAATGCCTGGGAACACAGGACACATGGCACAGAAACACACACACACACACACACACACGGTCAGATACAGCCCCATTTTCTTTTTATTCCTACGTAAAAAGCACTTTCAGGCTGAAATGAACTAAACTCAGATGCACATCAGATTATGGAATTACAAAAACTATATTGTGATATTTTCACAGTGATCCCCATGGTAAGATGCTTACTAAGCTATGTGGCAGTTCTGCAGTTGGAGAGATAACAGGACTTTTCCATGGTGGATTTAGCACCAGAAGGACTAAACTTATCGTGTTTCTGCAGTCCTTGGCTACAGTTGGTCTTACTCAAGGAAGGGAGCTTCTGCAAACTCAGAAGTGCCTCAATTCTGCACTGGTTTCTTCAAAATTTTCAGCAAAGATGGGACTTGTACCTAGTTTTTTTTTTTTTCCTTAAAAAAAAACAGGAGGAAATAAGAGTTGTGAGAACTTCAGGAAATGGTTCATTTGACACAGCGATCGATGATTGGCGCAGCTTCAGATTTTCTTTGAGTCCTTAAGTGTTTAAACCCCAGTACATCAGGTTTTGGCTTATCTCAGATAGAACCTTCTGATATTTTCCTCATGAAATTGACCAATGCAGTTCCGCTCCACCAAGCCTTCCATCTATTCACCTTCCATATAAACGTATCCTGTAATTCCTGATTCCTGTTTTGCCCTTAACTGACTTGCAAACAGAGCAATATTTCACCTACAATAAAACCACAGCATTAGGAAACTAAACTTGTTAATGAAGTTGCTTTGTACAGTGATTGCTGTTAAAGGGAACTTCCTTCCAAATGTTTACCTGCGATGTTCATCATCAAAAAATTTGAGCTATTATTCTAAAAATTGGAGGCCTGTAGATATTAATTTCCGAGGTTCCTTTGTCAGTCGGTGTTTTCAGCTTGTTAAAATGTTTATGTAATTCTTATTTGGAGGGAAAAAAATCAGTTTTTCTTTCTGTACTGGGTGCTACAAAAAGAGATTAGTGTGGCGTAAGTGATGGAATAATGCTCACAGGCCCTCGATGGCCCTTAACGGCCTTGTTTAAAATTAAAAACAAAATGAGGTTTATTAGATTGGTGTCTCAATACTGATATGATAAGCTTATGAACCATCTAATATCTGCTAATTTACCCTTTAAAAGTTTATGAAGCAGTGGATGAAAATTGAATATTTTTGTGCCACAAAATAAATCCATACATCCATCCATTTTCCAAACAAGCTTGTACTGTTTGAAAAAGAATTTCAGTGGCTATAAAAATCAACCAAGCAGTAACTAAATACATATGCCTTCATATGCTGGTTGCTGATTTTTACTGAGGTATTTTATATACCAATTTGCCTTTAATTAGTTATGCATATTCATTCATAAACGTTTGTAAACAGTATTTACCTATAGCCAGTTCACTAGGGGACTGTAAAATTCTCTCGCCATCAAAGACATTCGATTCACTGTGACAAGTTTTCGTTACCGAACTGTAAATCAGGTCACTGAGGTATTCAGATACAAAATAATAAAGATAACCATTAAAATAAAACATATAACACAGTTTCAGTTGATGCCACTTAAGATATACCTGTCCTTTGCACAGGTATTGATAACACTCTGATTTTTAGTTACTTTATGTTCTCTGTAGCTCCCTGATCAATGCAACTGACAGCCTAGTTTGTGTTTAATGGGGTGTTTTCTTAATTACGTTAAGTAACCCATCATAGTGCTAGACTACAGAATCTGCTGTAGCTACCTAAATGTTGACTATTCAGTCCTGGTCATTCCAATACTGCAGCCAATTTAATACCCAGTTTTAACATAATTTGTGGAGAAATGCCTAAGCAGCTTTGGATGGTAAATTTCGGCGAAGTTAAATAGTTTAAAATTATTTAAGAGCTTCTTAGTTCCTTCCTTGACCCAAAAATGTGTTGTTCATTCCTTTGGATCTTCAATCCTTTTTTGCTCTTGTGAAATCCTACTGGCGAGTGAAATGCAAATCTACTGGCTTTGATTGGCGCACATTGTGTAGGAACATACTGCCTCCCAGTGAGAGTTTCAAGGTCAAGATATAGAGAAAGTAATTCAAAAAGCGATTCCCTTGAACCAAATTTTATCTGCTGTACTTAGCTCTCTAGGGAATGAGTTTTCTGAAGACAAAGAAAGAATTCCCGTGTTTTGATGGGATACCAGCAGAACGATTCTTCCACAAATACAAAGAAAAAAAAAACAGTCCTTGCCATATTAATTTCAAACAGCCTATAAACCCTTTACCTAATAAATAAAAATCAAAAAACAAAAAAAATCATCAAAAATTTGTTTTTCCGGGAGGGGTGCGGTGTTTAGCCCTGTTACCTCACACCTCTGGGACCCGGGTTCGAGTCTCCGCCCCCAGTACAAGTATATGCTAAGGTGAGTTGGACGTATTATATTACTTGTAGGTATGCATGTGTGAGCAACTGGTGTGTGAGTGTGACTTGCAATGGGTTGGTGCCCCCCCCCCCCACCCCATCCCTGAATAGGACAAGCTGTTAACAAAAAAAAAAGAGTGGATAGGGGATACAAACCCCATGTGAATGAGTAAGAGCTGCAGAAACTCCCCCTGGTGGTTCACCCTGGTATTTATCACTTTTACACACCCTTCATCAGCAGATCGGTTTCTCAGTAACCACGTTGATTTCATCACCTCTTACAATTAAACGGAATCTTTAGCAATTAACTGCTGACTGTAGTACTGCTTAATTGTTTATTGATCTAAAGTAAAACTTACAATTCAGCACCGCGCTTCTGTTTATTTGAAATTCGAGGACGTATAATTAAAGCAGAAGGTATGAGTCTCGGGTTCCGTCCAGTGCTTGTTAACGGCTGCTTGACAGTAGGTTGTCGGAGCGCGTAAAAAGGGTGGAGAACGCCCTCCGAAAAGAGATCTCAGCAAGCGCTCGGCTGCTGTTAAAAATCGCATTGCATGTAATTAGACCAAAGTGTTCTTGGTTTGCAGAAGGACTGAGCGGCAAAGCAGGACTGTGACAGTAACGCCCCCTCCCACCTCGGCACGCTGTCATGCTTTATACCCACCCCCATGTCCCCTGCCATCTAAGCTGCACTGCAGTGAGTGATGAGCCCAATATGTCCAGATGTGTTTCCCGACAAAAATCCTCGCACGCTTCTGGCTGACAGAAGGTAATTTGCAGCACGGCTATTTGTTTAACGTTACACTGATGCTTATGTGCAGTACGTAGGCAACCCTGATAAATCACCTGATTCTGCAGAAATGTGCATTAGTGTCTGGGGGTGGAGGGCAGGCATGCCGTAAAGGTGGGGGGGTGGACAGTTAGGACGATTCAAAAAGATCAGCTGAGCTGAGTGAGGGATTTACTCCTAGTAAAACCTGGCCACCATGACCAAACTGTACCCAGGGATGGTGTCTGGAACAGATGTGCAAATTGACCTGTATATTGCCTTGGAGACCCCCCCCCCAGCCGGTGAGTAGAGGTGAGTGGATCGATGCTGTATTAATCGTACAAGATCCTGAGCCCTGCCTGTTATCCCCCCGTGGCTGGGTTCCGCTGAGCTTTTGAAGCTGAGCCCCCCCATCGTTACAGCCTGAGCAGCTCGTTACCCTCCTCCGGCCCGGCCCAGGCCTTGGCACCGATCTAAAAGGCCCATTTTACAAATTAAAAGTGCTGCATATCAGGGAACTGTCTCCCTTAATGAGATCATGAAAGAGCAGACCCACAATGCATCACTGATCCTGGGCCCGCCACTGCCCAGTCAGGTGGTTAGCGGGCAATTATCTATAGCCGGCGGCGGCGGGGGGGGGGCAAAGATGCTTCAGGGCTAGCCTTAGCCAAATTTACTAACATTAAGTCATGCTATCAGATCAGATAGAGAACACTAGCGTCTGCAATGAGGGGATCTAGACCTTATCTAATGAAACCGACAGCTGTCTTCCAGGTCTGCCGGGACCTGCTTACGGTCTTTTCCGCGCTTGTGCATTTGTGTGCCATTATCCGCAAGGCTCATAAAAATATCATCCATTCCTGAGCAGGAAAGGGTAGCCAGCATTTTGGAGCGGCGAGCTATCTTTGGTGTGCAGGAAAGGGATCAGGGAAATCTGAGACCCACGTCTCTGCGTGGTCTGTTTTTTTGTTTTGTTGCTTTTTTTTTTCTTCTGACGGCAAAGCCAAAGACTTATTGCTATTCCGCTCAAGCAGGACCTTGAAAAAAAACAAAGATCTCCAGAGCAGGGGTCAATATTTTGACATCGTCGGCAGGCGCCCTATGCTGACAGAGTTGGCGGTTCGCGAGTGACGGTTAACGTGTAAAAATCAAGCTCTGACAGGTAGCCGGGTCGACACTTGTGTGTGACACCTACAAGCGCATGGACTGCTGACGAGTGGCGGAATGAGCATTTAAGGGCTTTATTAAAGATGCAAAAATAAGTAACTAAATGCATGATTGTGGACCGACATGTTAACAGTATCTGTCAGAGATGGAGACACGCACACAGCCAGCCCAAAATGAGTCTGCTCTAGTCCTTCCTGAATGTAAAATTTAGCGTTCGATGGATCATTATATTCAGGGGGGGGGGAAATGTCAGCGTCTTGTTGGGGGGTCTCATTCTGAATGTCGCAGCTCTGGGGACGCCACACCGTGCCACGAAAAGGCCGTGACAAGCGCACTACAGAGTCACCAGTCACCATGTCACCAGTCACGTCGACCCTTTAAAGGTCACAGCGGAATGGCACCCTGCTTCTTTATTTATTAAATCAAACCCAATGTGAGCTTTGTTTAGAAAATGAATCCTTTAAATAAAAATCCACCCGCTTCCCTTTTGGCTCATATGTGTTAAAAGCCTCAATCTGTCATCCATCCATCCATCCTGAAAGCCATGGCTACAAGACAGGGAATAACCCAGGAAACACACACAGAGAGTTTGGTAAGTACAATTCACCTTAGCATGTTTTTGGACTGTGGGGGGGAATCAGAGAGTGGGGAGGAACCGTCACGATGACATGGGGCGAATATGTAGTCGCTGTGGGGAGTTAAACCTTTGTCTCCAGAGGTATGAGGTAAGAGTGCCAATCACTGCACCACCGGGCCGGTCCGTCTCTCCTTCACAGCGGTAATTTCTTAATCAGTCAAAGTTTATTTATCAAACGCACAACAGGACAGCAAACAGCAGGAGATGCAGGCAGCGAAATCAGTTTCCCAGAGAGTTCCCTATAATACTCAAATTTACGGAGACGTATCAGTGTCACACATTGAAATCAAACTGCTGGCCAATGACCATCGATGGGATCACATTCACTGTCCAATCAGAGCATTTCTCTCATGAACATTAATGAGCCAGCTAATCAGGTTGTGCTTTTCTCATGAATATAAATTTTCCCAAACCACCCTGTAAAACCAAATTTTGTACCCTAGACACCTGGATCTGGAAAAGTGATGGATACAAACTTTCTTCTTGACCGATTAACTGTCCGGGAGCCATGTCGTTCTTCTCCCATTTGAGGAACACAGGTGCGTTTCATGCTGCCGTGATGCTGTCCACAGCCCAGGGACACACCTGGTATATCATAAGACCATCTATAATCCCATTGGTCAGATGACCGACCAATCACAAGGCTGCATTTAGCTAACGAGGTGAGGTCAGGCAGTTAAGTGTGCTCAGAGCTTTACAGGACTGACTCTCACAGTCTCAGGCCACAGAAGCAGGGTTAGTGCGAGGTTATGTAATCTCGACGTCTGGCGCCAAGGGGACAGGCTGAGAAGCCGCAGAAGCTCAGCATTGTTCGAAGTGACACATGAAATTGAATGAAATACGCGCCGTTGTTCTCCTCGGGCTGAGGCGGCCTTTTAGTGGAGGCCGGCGTGTGCTTCTGCTCAGGGGTGGCAGGGGGGGCGCTAAAAAGGGCTTTTAGCCACTAAAGACCCCTTTTCCTCATTCATAGAGGTCGGCGATCTGCTCGCCGCTGGCGCCCAGTGGGTGAAATGGGCAGTGCGACTTTATAGCGCAGTATGTGTTCTTACCCAGCTTTTAGTAAAGTGGGTTGAAATGAGGAGTAGGCCACACTCCAGCTCC